GCGATGTTTGCCGCCGGACGGCCGGAGACTGGCTGGTGAGCGGCACCGACGGGCGGCGGCTTTGCAGGGAGGGCGGAGGGGGCGGAGGCACGGGCGGGCGGGCTGCAGGGCCAGGCGGCCGCGGCTCTGGTCAAGGGCGTAGAAGGGCAGGGCAGGGGCGCGGGGGAGCGGTGGAGCCGAGGGCCAGGGGCGCTGGTCGGGAAGGGGAGGCGGCCTGGGATCCGGCCGGCGACCGGCGAGGCCGTGAGGAACGGCGGCGCCGCGGCGGTGAGGGCGTGAGGCGCGGGCGTCGGTCATCGGGACGAGGGCGTCCTCTGCTCTGCCTCGATGTGGAACGAGGGGGTCGTGGCCTTGTGGGCTGTGGCTGAACGAGGGCTGACTAGTGTTATTGGGCCACCTTTTTCTTGCCCAGTTAAATACCCATAGATATATAGGCCGCTCCAAAATCCCAGGGTGGGCCGCGGCCCACCCTGGCCACCCTGTAGCTCCGCCCCTGCCCGAGGCCCCGAGCTCATGTGTGCCCGTTCCATCAATTTAATTTGCTGACACAAAATTACCGCATAAAAAATGCCAACCGCATAAAAAATTAGTTGAGGAAATTTTTTGGTTGCAACAATCGCATGAGCGATGGTTGCTCAAAGGGGATTTAAATACAGATTACTTGCATCGCATAGCTAATGGGCGTAAAAGGAAAAACACGATCCACTCCCTTAAGGTGGGGGACACGGAGATAGAAGGTACTGATAAGCTGATCGCTCACGCCACAGAGTTCTATAAAGAACTTTTCGGGCTAGCTCCTGGAAACCAATTTCACATGGACCCTGACACATGGACTCTGGAGGAAAAACTTAGTGAGGAAGATAACGCTAACTTGTGCAGAGAGTCTTCTGAAGAGGAGGTCAAGGAGGCCCTTTTTGATATGGCTCCCAATAGGGCTCCTGGACCTGACAATATCCCGGTTGAATTCTACCAAGTTTGCTGGGATATCGTCAAGGATGATATCATGGCCTTGTTTAGACACTTTCATCGAGGGACGCTGGATGTTCAAAGGTTGAACTACGGAATCATCACTTTACTCCCGAAGCTCTCTGGGGCTGACAAAATCCAACAGTTCAGACCTATTTGCCTGCTTCGTTGTCCTTATAAACTCATCACAAAAGTCCTAGATCGCCGAGTCTCGGTCTATGCTAACAAGCTAATTAGCCCAGTCCAGAATGCCTTTGTCAAGGGTAGGAACATTATGGATGGGGTGCTTTCACTCCATGAAATCCTTAATTACACTCATGTGAAGAAAAAAGTTGGGGTGGTGTTGAAAGTGGATTTTGAAAAAGCGTATGATAAGGTTAACTGGGAGTTCCTGTTAGAATGCCACAAGCTGCGGGGATTCAATGATACCTGGTGTGGATGGATTAATCAGATCCTTCGGAATGGCACGGTTAGCATCAAGTTAAATAACAGTGTGGGGCCGTACTTCCAAAGTGCGAAAGGGGTGCGACAAGGCGATCCTCACTCCCCATTCTTATTTAACTTAGCTGCTGAATGCCTTACGAAGATGATTAAAAATGCTCAGCGTAATAAGTTGCTAGTTGGTTTAGCTGCGGATCTGATCCTTGATGGAGTTGCGGTACTTCAGTACGCGGATGACACAATTATCTGTCTTGAGCATGACATTGATAAAGCAGTCAACCTGAAGTTGCTGCTGTATATGTTCGAAATGATGTCCGGGTTGAAACTTAATTTTCAAAAAAGTGAAAATCTGACTGTTGGGGGAGACGATGCTGTGATTAAGCAATATGCCGACCTCTTCGATTGTGATATAGGCAGTTTCCCCATTAAATATTTGGGCATGTCTGTCAGTTATACTACCTTGAGAAACTCCAATTGGGAGTTCATTGTTTGCAAATATTTGAAAAGATTTGACGCTTGGGTAGGTAATGCTGCATCCATAGGAGGGAGACACACTTTAGTTGACTCTGTTGTCACTCAGTTATCGTTGTACCATATGTCCATGTGGTTGTTGAACAAAACGTTCATTGAGAGATTGGATAAACATAGAAGAAGATTCTTCTGGCAAGGCTGTACCAAAAAAAAAAGATACCATCTTGTGAGATGGAACAGGATCTGCAGATCCAAAGAAAAAGGGGGCCTGGGTATTAAAGACCTGCGCAAGCAAAACATTAGTCTGATGGTGAAATGGTGGTGGAAGCTCGAGACTCAAAGTGGGTTGTGGCAAGATATCTTTCGCGCTCGCTACTTGCGGAATAGAACGGTAGCTGATGTTGTCCCAAGGTTTTCTGACTCCCCCTGTTGGAAAGCTTTGCTGAAAGTCAAGGAAGTTTACATGACTGGTAGAAAAGTCAACATCGAATCTGGTAACATTGCCAGGGTATGGAGTGACTCCATTAACGGATTGCTTCCGTTTAAGGAGAGTTACCCTCAACTCTTTGACATTTGCAACATCCCTGAATGTACTATCAAACAAGTGCTGAATGTAGATAGTGCTTCCTTTTTTAGAAGAAGGCTTACTCCTATGCTGTCTGAGCAATGGGGGGCTGTTTTGGATGCGGTTAATAAAATTCCCTTAACTGACAAGGAGGATCGAGTGGTTTGGAGTCTGAACCAGAATGGTAACTTTAGTACCAAATCTGTTTATAAGTTGCTGGAGAAACCCCTCAGTGGGTGCCATTATAAATGGATTTGGAAGGCCAAAATCCCACTCAAGATTAAAAAATTTATGTGGAAACTTTCGCAAGATGCGGTGCTGACTAGACAGGTGATGCGTCATAGGAATTGGTCTGGGAACCCTGTTTGTTCATTATGTAATGAAATTGAGACTTCACAGCACTTATTCTTTACTTGTTCGGTCGCTAGGGTGGTGTGGCGATCTATTGGGGTGGTTATTGGTACTGATAAGTGCCCTGATAACTATTGGCAATTCTTTGCTTGGTGCTATTCCTTTCTTCCAGGAGGAGACAAGTTTTATACTGTTGGTCTTGCTGCCACCTGCTGGGCGATCTGGCTTGCTCGCAATAAGGCTACCTTTGAGAAAAAGCAAATTAAGTCTCTCTTTGAAATTGTGTTCTCTATATGCTCCTTTCTTTTGTACTGGACAGGACTGCAGAAGGGTGATGACGCTGACAAGCTTCGCTCAGGCGCCGAGATGATCAGGACCAGCACGATGCAGCTGATGAGACTTTGCGGAACCAATACCCAGCCAATTGGAGGAGCGTGAAAGATCGTGGTGGAGGTGTTCTGCTTCAAGGACGTGGCGATGGAATGTTCTGTCGGGAGGGCCATCTTCCTCATAGCAGTTTCCTCTCTCTTTTGTTTTCGTTGATACTTTTGGTGTGTTGGTTTGTTACCCTCTCTGGGTGTCGTGGGACTTAGCTCTCTGTTAACTGTAGGTGTTGCCAGGTTTTCGCCCCACAGCGCTCGGGTCGACGGCGACCTGAGTGGCAGTGGGTTTCCTGGTAATGTTTGAACTCGCCTTACCTCTTTCCCTCCCCCTGACTCTGTATTCGGAACTGGTTGTATTTCCGTTGTTTGCAATGAAAAGGGGTAACGCCCGGTTCAAAAAAAAGGAGCTCACTAGCAGAGGGGCATCAGGAGAATGCATAACTGTATGGTGGATGCCATCCTACTCATCAACAGCGACAAGCGGCTTGCGATCTTCAGTCCCATCCAGTGGAAGATAAGCTAACTGACTGAGATCGCCAACAGCAACTGAATCCATCCTGAAAGGCTAACTATTAGCTCAAGATCAAGTGGAGACATCAAAGTAAAAAATCTCACTACTGGAGATAAAGTAGATACTTATAGAGAATCAACTAAAACGATACTAACAGAAATGAGCATCTGTACATTTTTGTGGAACAGATGGGTTCATCTCAAGAACTGGAGAGAACCCAATGCCTGAGATTGTTTCGACATCCTCGATTTCGGCAAACAAAATACGCATTCAATTCTTCAGACGCCTTTGCTGTGTGACACTGGAGGTACAATTAAGTTGGAGAAGGGCAGCAGCGGTGTGATGTGCCCCAATGAATATTAGTGCTGGCTATATAGTGCATTCTCCTTCTGTTTCCCCAACAAGTATCTTTATGCCTGTCACATTTGCGCCGAGAGAAAAAACTCGAACCATATATTTATATTAAAAGAAGCGCCAAGAAAACACAGCAGTGTACTAACGGTGGCAACGACAAGACGGCATGAGTGCTCAAAATCATTGCTAATATAATCCACTACATCTGTTCTAGACATCTCAGCAACACTATGCATATGACAGCAATTCACTACACATCTCAGGGTAACAAAATTCAGTCTACATATAGTATCAGCAAGCATAATTCCAACCGAGAAACTGATATAATCATGATGCCTGAAATCATGGCTTATTACAGTACCGACCTAACTAGCCTGTAATACAAGTCCTAGCAACAGTTCATAAAAGAGGGAAGAAAATTATCCATTATTATAAGCTCAATAGCCTCATCTAACGTGGTAGGCTAGCAGATGACAAGAACTCTGCCTCCATGCTATAGCGTCGTTGGCTACCTCCTTGCTGTGCAAACGATTGACGAGCAGATCTAGTCCTTCGAGTTAATGACCTTGGTTGCATTTGTTCTCCATTTCTCAGATCAGGCTGAGATGAGTTCATCCGTTTTGTCCGTAGAGTCTGTAGTTCTGTCTCCACCTGTTTCATGGTTGGTCTTTCTTCGCCATGTAACCTCAAGCACCGGTCTGCCAAAGATGCGACACTGTCGATCTCTTCCTCAGTTGCCTCCTCAAGGACCTGAGAATTAAAAATATCTGTGATTCTTCCCTCATTGAACTCCTGGAGGAAATAGTTTGACAAACTTTTGACTGTGCCTGATTCACTTGTAAATACAGGCTTCATTCTGAGAAGCAACTCCACTAGTACCACACCAAAACTGTACACGTCGCTCTTCCCGTTCAGCTGCCTGGAATGGAAATACTCTGGATCTAAGTACCCAAATGTACCTTGCACATTCGTGACAATGTGTGTCTGATCAATCGGAACCAATCTGGACGCGCCAAAATCTGAAACTTTGGCTGTGTAGTTCACATCTAAGAGTATATTTGAGGACTTCACATCATGATGGAAGATTGATATCGAAGCTGAAGAGTGGAGATAAGATAGAGCTCCTGCTGTTTCGATTGCAATCCTTAAGCAATCGCCCCAGGATAAAGAAAAACCATCACTTGCATCTGCATGAAGAACTCCAGACAGTGAGCCGTTGGATACATAATCATACACCAGTAGTGGAACCTCGGTTTCAAGGCAACATCCAAAGAGCTTCACAATATTTCTGTGATTTATCTGTGAGAGGACTGCGACCTCATTAATGAATTGACTGATCTCACACTGCCTAATGATCTTAGACTTTTTTATTGCAACAACATGCCGATCAGACAATATGCCTTTGAAAACCATGCCGTGGCCCCCATGTCTGATGATACGTGTAGGATCAAAGTTGTTTGTTGCCTTCTCCAGCTCTTCTAAAGGGAAAATATTAGTATTCTCATTTGCAGTTTCATCCGATATTATCAACGTTTCTAGTAGAAGACCTTGGTTCTTCCGGAAATAGTTCTTCCGTAGTTGCTTTTGAACATTTCTTTTCCATCTACGAATGAGAAGTGCTGCACTGAAGCTCAGAAATAGAATGCCGAAACCACAAGCCAACCCAATAATTATACTTGTAGGCATTAAGCTCTTTTAAGTTTCCGTTCTAACTTGTTTATAAAAAATGGAACAATAATAGTCTTACCTAAGAGCAGAGGTTGTTGCCTCTTAGTACACAGCATTTTAATTGGATCATACTCAGTCTTGCGAGGACATTCAGTACAACTAAAGCTTCCTTCCATATTACGGCAGATCCCTTTACATTTGCTCGGTAGAAGGCATTCATTGATATCTGAAATTAACAAAATTCTAATAAGGCAGGTCGATAAATCTATGACATGGAAACCGGAAGACTGTACAACATTTAACATTTAGTTAATATCAAAGGTAAGTCAGTCAATTAAATTAAGCCTACACGAATGACAAAACAAACTAGAATTAGGAAAAAATAACACTGTCTATTAATAATAAGCAACTTTTTGAAATAGCACATGTTTTTATACATCTGTAAACCTATCTTTTAGGCAGTTAACAGATAGCTAGTAGTACATTTTTAAGCCTACAGAGGGGGCGATACCTTGACAACCGGTTTGGATGTATGGATTTCCTTGGAAGCCATCTAAGCATTTGCAACGGTAACCAACATAGACACTATCAACAGAATCAAGGTCTTTAACACTTACTTCCACGCACTCGCTATTGATACTCACGCAAGCATATCTAGAGCTATTCTGTTGGGCCTCTAAACAACTTAGATTAGCAGCAACCCATTGCGCAGAGGAGAATGACCCAGGAATAGGAAAAACAAAATTTTCAGTCAAGCTGTATATCCCTTGTTGGTCAAGACTGGTGACATTAACGGTCCCTTCGTCAATATTTATGCCGATGACCTGTTTCGCCTCCAACAAGATCAGGGCAGCTGATGACGTCGTATTTGTGCAGTTGAGGTGAAAATCTTCACTTGCAAAGCAACCCTCTTCTAAGCCAAATGGGAATTGCACAGTAGCGTTACCACACCAACGGGTGCAATCAGCCCTGCTCGGAATTGGATTATACCCTAGTTTAATCAGTCAAAAGTTAGCATGTACTATCAATGCACAAAATTCTTAATAGTTGTATGTTTGGTCGCCAGATTAGGAAAAGAGGATTTACCTCTGTTGTCGAGCTTGGAGCAACCATCTGGAAAGTAGGGGTTGCCTGTATAGCCAATGCTGCACATGCAGTTGTAGCCATGGCTTCCGTCAAAGCACTCGGCATGCTCACTGATACATGCATAGTCTGTCCTGTTTTTCTTGGCAGCAACACAGTTGGATTGGCAGTTTCAAAGACAAGTTGTAGACACTGACACCAGGTTGCATAGGCATGGTATGCGAGAAGGAGGCCGTGATGGAGTTACTACCAGAAAAGATTCTTCAAAGCTAATCACCTGGGTGATGCCATCACGCAAATACAGTCTAGGGGAACGCGCGGTGTCGTTGTAGGTGAGGTTGAAGTCGGCCCCCCGGGAACACCTGGATCCGATGCCGAAGGGGTAGCCGATGCTCACATTTCCACAGCTCTTTGGGCAACCGTGGAGCGTGCCATGTGAGGGTTGCACCCAGCCTCCTGTAGGGTTGTAACTTGTTACGCCTCCTGATGCTAGCGCAGCTAGCTTTCCTCGTGACCCGAGTACCAACAAAGGGAGTAGTGCATAGATCACTGGCAAAATGCTCATGATCCACACCCCCTTTCACAGCTCCCAATTGCACTTGAGATTCAGTTTAGACATCAGTATATGTATTTGAGGATTTCACAGTGTTGTAAAGTGAATGGTTCAGGAGGGCCTTCTCTTATATAGCTTGCTAGCGGAAACATATGGTGATACTTGTCCCAACTAACAAGACATGCTGGAGAACAAGAATGGTACTCCCTCCGTTTTTCAATATAAGACCTTTTAGAGATTTCAATATGTACTACCTACGGATGTATATAGACACATTTTAAAGTGCAGATTCACTCATTTTGCTTCGTATATAGTCTATATTGAAATCTTTAAAAGGTCGAATATTTAGAAACGGAGGAAGTACACACCAGGACTCCAGAAGACATTGACGTGCTTGATTTGGCCACACTCCACTACTTACTTGTGGAAGTTTACATGGTTGATTTGGCCACATTCCAATACTTGTTGTTGGTCCCATAACATTGACCTCGCAAGTCAGTCTAAGTTGGCTTGATCATAGAGTGCGCAATCTGTGTGAGACGATTAGTATCCATTTTAATAAAAAAACTTAGAACTAAGATTAAGCAAATAAATTGGTCTGAATTGTTCATTGCGAACTGCCTCTTCCTTCTTGGGCAGCAGAGCGATTGTCCCAAAGTTAAGTTTAAAAAGATGAAGCTGTCCATTAAGCACATCCTGAAACACGGGCATAAGACCCCCCCCCCTCCTTAATGATCTTCCAACACTTGTGATAGAATGCTATCGAAAATCCATCCGGCCCATGTGCCTTATTATGTTTCATTGCGCGATAGCCTCAAAATTAGCCTCTCTTTCTGTAAAAGAAGCTTTAAGCACCTCATTCTCATCCGCCCCATGTTGTGCGATATCCCCCACCCTTCCTTCATATATATAGGGAGACAAAACTATCTAACGAGGCCCCAAAGAGCTTTTTAGTGGCTTGTTAGTCAAAATAAATGACGACACTTGACCCAACTAACAAGACATGGCGGACAACAAGACTCCAGTAGACGTTGACGTGGTTAATTTGGCCACACTCCACTACTTACTTGTGGACGTCGAGGTGGTTGATTTGGCCACACTCCACTACTTGTTGCCAGCCGGTCGCACAGCAATGACCTCCCAAGTCAGTCGGTCAATGACTGTCTTCTTGTGCACGTTACTCTAGCCCATCAAAGGGGGCACTGACAAGTCTTTGAAATCGCATGGCATTGTTTCGGTTTGTGCTTCGTGGTGCAAAGAGAAAAGAATTGCCAGCATGACACGAATCTCATGCCAAACTTGCAGTCTGCAGAGTAGACCAATCATACATAGCCACAGCAGCGAGTCCTTGCTGTCCATGAAGAACTGCGAGTATGAAGATGTCAATCAGGAGAATACTAAGTAATTGTTTGCTCAACGGATTTAGACGGTGCTCTATTTAACGTGAATGCGGTTTTCTCTAATGCATAATCCCAAAACGATAGTGGTATATCAGTAAGAGACATCATAGAACGCACCATATCCGATAAAGTACGGTTACGACGTTCAGACATACCATTACGCTGTGGTGTTTCAGGTGGTGTGAGTTGTGAAACAATTTCACATTGTTTTAAATGAAGGACAAACTCGTAACTCAAATATTCGTCTCCGTGATCAGATCGTAGAAACTTTATTTTTTGTTACGATAATTCTCCACTTCACTCTAAAATTCTTTGAACTTTCAAATGTTTCAGACTTGTGTTTCATTAAGTAGATATACACATACCTACTCAAATCATCTGTGAAGGTTAAAAAATAACGATACCCGCCGCGTGCCTCAATACTCATTGGACCGCATATATCGGTATGTATTATTTCCAACAAGTCATTAGCTCGATCCATTGTTCCGAAGAACGGAGTTTTAGTCATCTTGCCCATGAGGCATGGTTCGCAAGCATCAAATGATTCATAATCAAGTGATTCCAAAAATCCAACCGCATGGAGTTTCTTCATGCGCTTCACACCAATATGACCTAAACGGCAGTGCCACAAGTATGTTGCACTATCATTGTACCCTTTGCATTTTTTGCCATCAATATTATGAATATGTGTATCACTATAATCGAGATTCAATAAACCATTCACATCGGGTGTATGACCATAGAAGGTTTTATTCATGTAAACAGAACAACAATTATTTTCTGATTTAAATGAATAACTGTATTGCAATAAACATGATCTAATCATATTCATGCTCAACGCAAACACCAAATAACATTTATTTAGGTTCAACACTAATCCCGAAGGTAGAGGGAGTGTGCGATGGTGATCGTATCAACCTTGGAATTACCTCCAACACACATCGTCACCTCGTCCTTAACTAGTCTCCCTTCATTCTGCAACTCCCGTTTCGAACTACTAATCTCAGCAACTGAACCGGTATCAAATACCCAGGGATTGCTATGAACACTAGTAAAGTACACATCAATAACATGTATATCAAATATACTTTTGTTCACTTTGTCAACCTTCTTATCCACCAAGTATTTGAGGTAGTTCCGCTTTCAGTGACTATTCCCTTTGTAGTAGAAGCACTCAGTTTTAGGCTTGGGTCCAGCTTTGGGCTTCTTCACGTGAGTGGCAACTTGCTTGCCATTCTTCTTGAAGTTTTCTTTCTTTTCCTCACCTTTTTTCTTGAAACTAGTGGTCTTGTTAACCATCAACACTTTATGCTCTTTCTTTAATTCTACCTTCGCCGATTTCAGCATCGCGAAGAGCTCGGGAATCATTTTCGTCATCCCTTGCATATTATAGTTCATCACGAAGTTCTAGTAGCTTGGTGATAGTGACTAGAGAAATTTGTCAATCACTATCTTATTTCGAAGATTAACTCCCACTTGATTCAAGAAATTTTAGTACTTAGACATTCTGAGTACATGCTCACTGGCTGAGCTATTCTCCTTCATCTTGTAGGCAAAGTACTTGTCAGAGGTCTCATACCTCTCAACACGGGCATAAGTCTGAAATGCCAATTTCAGCTCTTAGAACATCTCATATGTTCCATGGCGTTCAAAACGTCTTTCAAGCCCCGATTCTAAGCCGTAAAGCATGGCGCACTAAACTATCAAGTAGTCATCATATCGAGCTTGTCAAACGTTCATAATGTCTGCATCAGCTCCTGCAACAGGTCTCACCTAGCGGTGCATCAAGGACATAATTCTTATGTGCAGCAATGAGGATAATCCTCAGATTACGGACCTAGTCCGCATTATTGCTACCGTCATCTTTCAACTTAGTTTTCTTTAGGAACATATCAAAAATATAGGGGAGCTATGTCACGAGCTATTGATCTACAACATAGACATGCAAAACTATAAGACTAAGTTCATGATAAATTAAGTTTAATTAATCAAATTACTAAATAACTCCCACTTAAATAAACATCCCTCAAGTTATCTAAGTGATACATGATCCAAATCAACTAACCCAAGTCCGATCATCACGTGAGATGGGGTAGTCATCAATAGTGAACATCTCTATGTTGAGCATATCTACTATATGACGCACGTTCGACCTTTCGGTCTCTAGTGTTCCGAGACCATGTATGTACATGCTAGGCTTGTCAAGTTTAACCCAAGTATTCTGCATGTGCAAAAATTGTCTTACACCCATTGTATGTGAATGTAGAGT